ATATATATATATATATATATATATATATATATATCACAATAGATGTCCTTGCTTAGCTAATACCAGTAAAATTACAGAAAGAATTCCCCTTCTGTGATGATAGTTTTTGTAATTAGATCAGATTATGGTTCTTCTTGAATATCTGTGAATTGTTATGTTATCAGTGATAAGGACAACTTGTCATTTTTTTATTACATATGATAATTACGATAACCTGCCTTGTACAACTCGTTCTATATGCATCTGGAAAAATGGCATCCAATTCTTTAGTCAGCAAGCTATACTATTTGTTTGCCATCTGGTGAGTAGAATAATGTTTGTGGCTCCATCTAGAAGACTGATCAATGTGTACTGTCTTCTAACCAGCATGAATTCTCGTTTAAGTGATCACACTGATTACCTTTCATTGCTGGACATAAATCAAATAAGTAAAATACAAAAAGTTGAGAGCACACCTAATCTCAAAATATGGCTTCAGAAGCTATCAAAGAAGATATAATGAAATTTTGATGTAATTTGTATTGATACTACTAATATGCAGTACATTATTAAAGTGGTAAATATACAGTGGTGAAAGATTCCATGACCCAGATATATTAGGTAATATATTTACATTTTATTAGTTAATAAGTAGTATATATATATATGATAAAAATAAACTAGACAATACATCTTGAAGTTTAAGGTAGTTTGTAGATTACACGGCTTAAGGTTTTGTGATACCTAATAGAGGATAGAATCTAAGTATGACATAAAGAATAGAAAGTATGATCCACAGGTATATATCCTGTATTTGTACAGGTCCAGAGGCAGTGACCTACCTGTTTGACCTTCTTCAAACTAATTTAAAATGGATCAGAAAAAGTCTTGGGATTTCTTCCATTCTTTCAACCAATGATGTGTTTAACAGAATCACACCTTCACCACTTTCTTGCTCAGAGAGAAATTCCACAGATAGGTCAACTAAATCATCATTTACGAAAAATAAAGAAGCCTTACAAAATACACAAAACTCCACGACTGATGCTAAATCTGCTAGAAAGAAGAAATTGTCAGAGTCTGAAAGCTTAGTGGAAGGTTCTTCAGGCACTCGACGGTCATCTTGGGAAGATTTCAAACAGGAACATCTGAACACTATGTTGTCTCACATCTCTGAAGAAGAAGAAGAGGATGTGAAAGATGATGTGACTCTTTCATGGGAAGGAAAAACTGATGAACCTTTTAACCCGATGAAGGAGTACCAGCTAATTGGAGATAGTGATTTTGACCAGGTAAAGAAATACTATTATATCAGATAGTGATTTTGAACAGGTAAAGAAATACTATTATATCAGATAGTGATTTTGACGAGGTAAAGAAATACTATTACATTAGATAGTGATTTTGACGAGGTAAAGAAATACTATTATATTAGATAGTGATTTTGACCAGGTAAATAAATACTATTATATTAGATAGTGATTTTGACCAGGTAAAGAAATACTATCATATTAGATAGTGATTTTGATCAGGTAAAGAAATACTATCATATTAGATAGTGATTTTGATCAGGTAAAGAAATACTATCATATTAGATAGTGAAGTATTATTAAGATAGCAACAAATTATCTAGAGCATATTGTTTTTTTTTATGTCAATCATAATTAATGGATGTTCAACATTTGCTGACTTCAGTTCGAAAATCCTTGATAAGCTTAAATCATGTATTAATATACATAATTGTTTTTGTATCTTGATATTAATAATGCTTGTTATTTTTGATTGAGAAACTAAGTAGATTTAGGTAATCAAATAAATATTGAATTATTCTTCATAGTTTTTATTCTTACCAAGCAATATTTACATCTTAGTGCTTATTCTAAAATTATTTTATATCTAGAAATTATTATTATTTTTAGAAAGCCCTAGCTGACTTTCCTTTCCGATGGAATGGTCTTTTGCACCAGACACCACAATTAGGCTTGACAAATATTTCTTTCACTAACTTACTTTCTCATCGATGGGATATCAGAGGAGTGGCACCTGTGGCTAGCAGTCAAGAAAAATATGTTCAAGTTCTGAAGACTATGTATGACATAAATAATGTCCAGTCTAATCAAAATGTAATGTGATCTCTCTGTGAACCACACATTTAACTAGCAGTTTCCTCTTTTACAAGTAATCTCCCATAAAATAATTTTAACTTCTGAAATTTTCAGTTATTTAGATTAAGTCTTATTTATTTATCTAGTTGTTTTACTAAAATTTATTAGTTTATAGATTGAAATAGAAAATAAAGGAGATAACATTAAACATGTTGTCTTTCAACTTTTTAACATTTTTTCTTTAAGTTAAAGAAACTAAAACATATGTCCATAAACTTGAAATTGTGTACAAGCACTCACCAATGTCTTATACTACTGAATCATCCATAATTAACAGGGTTTTTATTGATTTTACAGTACTATCGAAAAATACTGTGGTGTCTATTGCATTACAGATATACTACCTGGTAACTAGACCAACCTGCTTTTAGTCTTCCATCCCTTTAACTTTCACACTTCTACAGTAACTTGTTTCTGCTATCAGTGTAAGTTTTTACTCTTATTCATCATGAAAGTCATACTAAAGCACAAAAAAAAGAATACATAATACAGGTTCACAGTCTTTCTTTAAATAGTGTTTGCTTGCTTTTGAAATATTTGATACTATTTTGGCTATTACATGTTTTTACACTTTATGATAATCTAACCAATACACATTTACATCTTCTTTAACCATATTGTTCTTAAAAACAAAAGAATTAAAAAACCAGAGATGAATGCCTTAATTTTATATGATAGATAGGATGGAAGGTTCACAGAACTACAGAAAAGCTATGGATTTAATTAAAGAAGTTTGCGAGAAACAGCTGGCTGATTAAATATTGAAACTAAAGAAAGGTTATTGTTTATTTTCTTTTTAGTAAGTTTAAGGTAAGTAATATGTTAAAATGGGAATTGGGCTCTTAAAGGATGCTGATAGCAAAGTTTTTGTTGAAGTCTTTTGTTTTCTTACAAGATATTAAGGATATTAGAATTAGCAAGAATCATGTAGGTATTAATCCTTTTGAAATACAGTGAGCAGGTTTCCAAGAGGTGGAAAGTTTCCCTGAAAATTATAAGTCAATTAGTCTTACTTCTGTAGTGAGAAATGTTCTAGAACGTGTGTGCTAAGATTTTAAAAAAGCTTTTGATGAGACACCATACAACATCACATCAGTAGAGGATGGGTAAACACTAGTTAATTAGATTGTAGGATGGATGTGTGAGAGAAAGCAAAAAGTTAATGGCCAATCACACTGAATCATGTTGATGGTAGTTTGCTCCAGGGTTCAGTGCTTGGGCCTTTGTTTTGCTATAGACATTAAACTTGTAATTTCCAGTTTGGGAACTCATAGCTGAAGAAAAGGTCTTGACATAGTGGTACATAAGTCATTCAAGCCATCAATTTATGGTGTATTAAAAGTTAAAAGAGGTAATGTTCTCTTTATACAAATCACTAGTTAGGCTTTCACTTGGATTAATTTACAGTTTTGGTCTATCTAAGACCAGGCCAAGTAGTTAGCATAACACATTGTAGATCAAAAGTTTGTGTGTCTTATTTCAAAAAAATAAACTGTGAGCAGCAATTTGGAGCCATGGATGCAGGAGAGTAGTGGTCAAATCCAAAAGTTAGCTGTGGACATTATTCACTAGCTGCCTTCCTTCTAGTCTATCAGTTCAAAATTAGGGATGGCTAACATCGATAATGCTTGAATAGCTTTGAGTGAATATCTAAAAATAAAACAAACTCCTTATCTAAGAAAGGATATTGACTTATAAAAAGTTCAGAGGAGGTCTTACTTGGATGATAAGCCTTGAATAGGTGAAACTGCAGCCCAAAGAATAAATAGGCATCTACATCACAGGTAATATTTTCAATTTTACCTTTGGTGAAAAGAAAAGAAAGCTGTAACATCATAATTTCCAGATATTTTTCAAAACTATCCCTGTATTCATACTCCTCCTCCACTCTTCCCTCAGTTTGGTTCTTGAGGGGGGGGGGTCTTCCATGTAACTTTTTACTTTGATCCATCATCAGTTTCTGCCTTGTATACAGTGTTTTGTCTTGAGACGTGCTTTTCCTCTACTATTATTAGTTATTCTCATTCTCCTAATTAATTTAAGTAGGATCACATCTCTTAGTGTCCTTTGATATTTTACCTATCAGGCTGTGTTGCAAGATGCTTGTCTTTTAATCATTTGAAATCATTACAAATGATTCATTACTTGTCTTTGTGGGGAAAGTTTGCCAATAGGAATTGATTAGGGTTTTAGCATCTTCTTGTACCTCTGGTCATCATTCCTAGATGTAATTTTTTATGTTCATTTATATCTACTCACACTTTTAGTGTGGCCCAATGTTAATGTAAGTAAGGTGTATCTTTATAGCTTTTTCATTGACTCTGTTCTAGATTACTTCATCTGGAGTTTTGTGGATCATCTAAAACACTTGTTCATCTATGGACCTATTGCTTCCAGTTCTTATTTGAATTTAGATTTAGATCTGGTAGTAGCCTCAAACCTTTTCCACAACAAAGGGATATTAATGTTATGTCACATTTCCCCCCTTTTTTTTAGCTCTCAGAAGATTGGAGAGTAATCATCAATTTCCTATTTAATTTTCTTTTATCCAAGTATTCCTCCTCCTTAGAGGATTTTGAATGATAAATGAGGACTTGGGAATCTGGCTGTTCACATTTTTGGCCTGGCTTTGGCATTGTATGTCTTCACATAATAATGTTATCATTACATGGATTATTAGAGGATTTTCACTCACTGATTGCCTCATAATGAATTGACCATCCAGTTAGCCTCTTCTCTGAGATTAATTGTTCATAAGTCCAAGTCTCAATTTTTGTAAACCCTATCTTGTTCATGTGAAATTTTGCATTAACACTCTTCATTTCCTTTGAGTTTTGGGTGTGCACTTCTCTTTGATTTGGGAATGATGGTTTTTCTTTACAAGGCAATTTCCATGGATCATGTTTGCTTCTGATACTGTCAATGGGACCTTGCCACTTTGTGGAATCTGTCCTTGACTATTGGAACTTCTCCCACTACTCTTGACTGCCTTCAGGTGCAACTCATTCTTGAGTTTCCTCACTGTACATTTCTTGTTCTTTTATCTCCTCCAATGCTTCACTCCAGGACTAGTGATGTGTTGGAGAATCATTATCTTTAGGATTTGTTGTCTGCTCAGATATCTCATTCTCAAATTATTCTGTTAGAGATTTGGATGTTCCCCAAAAATGTCAGGAGTTCTTGCCCTTGTACACCACCAGTGTGTTTTATTACTCACAGATAATTTGACTGTGACAACATATATCAGTAGACAGGGCTGGACTCTCACAATCTTACAGATATAGATTTTCTTATAAACATAAGATGACTATAACACCAGTTAATAGTTTTAACTTGCATTATGAAAGTTAACATTTTTAATAAAGTCCTGTCTGAATAATATATAAATTACAATATAAAACCCTGTAATGTGTCATGTGTTTTAAATATGAACATACAATTGTACTGACTAACAACAAGTTTATTTGCCTCATTTACCAGTCCTTACAGGAACTGGCATAGTTTGGCATAAATCTATGGTACAAAGCAGAAATAATACAAACCTAAACAAAACATTATACAGCTTAGTATTTTTGAATCTCCAGAAACTAACAGGTTTATCAGATTTCAATATATACTCAAGTTCCAAAAGTAAAACCAGAGCCTTCAAAATTTCTAATATAAGGACATGATTACCTTATAAAAGATACTAGGAAGAAATTAATTTCTACTCTCTCACTTTGACGTGGTAAAGTATATGATTATCTGATCACTATGTTTTATTTCTAAAACAAAACTATACATCAATATGTGCCATAGTTTATTAATGCCAAATAGAAAAACAATTTCAATACATACTGTGACAAATACTTAAATGGAAAATATAACATTAACAAAGACAATAAGCTCTGAATTATTTCAAAATAGTTGATATATGTTTCTGTATTCAATATTAATCAAATTTTACAACATGAATTGTGCAAGGTTTAATTCCCAGTAGAGTATATAAAAATGCAGTCACTGAGTTCATATATAAAAATATTTTATAAATAGTTAGAACATTATTAATACAAAAGTGGAACAATTAATTCTAGTCCTGTAATTACTAGGAAGATGTACAAGAGATTTTAAGAATATTACACAAGATGCAATTCCCTTGCAGGACAAATCTTGGCAAGTACAGTAGCAGTAACAAGGTTCACAACCCCGTCCTAAACATTAGGGAACTTATGGGAATCCTACTGATACAAACATTAAAATAATTTTCCAGCTTTTTGTAATTTTAAACATTCTAAATACAGCACCTTAAGTTTTGAATGTAAAATAATTCTACATCACTTTAAGGCAAAGACTTCAGGGATATTTAATCGATGTGACTGTCAATACTCAGAAGTAGTTTCAGTTCTGAAACAAACATACAAAATTTAGATGTTTTATACCAATTATGTAATAATTTCTCCCGGAAGAGGTTCTGAAAAATTTCCAACTAATAATACATACTTTTAATTGCAAGTAACGGGCAAAATAGAAAAGCTTATGTGGCCACTGTGCCCTAGGTCATCTGTTGGGTACCCTTAACTGCAGTGCTATTTAATTTATGCAGACTTTTTCAATGTGGTGTCCATATGCATCATATCCAAGAAGACTAAATACAGGCAGGTTGCAATAATCAGTAAATAAAAAATATGAAACTAAAATGTAAAGAATAAAACAATATAACCTAAAAATGATCCTGCTTAATAACATGCAGTGGATACATTTCATGCAAATGAGTTATTGTATTAATTTGAAAAAAACAATCAATAGCTCTGGTAACAAATCATGCTGGAGTGTTTAATAACACTGTTAACAAGTTACAAAGAAGGAAGGTCAGCTATTTTTCATCGGGATAAAATACTTCATCCATAATGACATCATGCACATCCATTGGCACACTGTGTAGAAGTTGTTCAGCAAAAGCCAAGCCAATCGTGTAGGGTCGACCATGAGGGTCATGTAGGCAACGATTTAGGTAAGTATCATAGTAACCACCACCACGTCCAATGCGACCGCCTCGTTTATCAAAAGCCAATCCAGGAACCACAATCAGGTCAAGCCCACCTGAAGCAATCAAGAATCTACATTAACTAATCTTATTAAACTGACATAAAACTAATCCTAAAAGTAAGATAAACAATCCTGAAACAAAGAACTTCCTTTATTTGTGGAAGAAATTTAAATAGAATATACTTCATAAGGTTAACTGAAGAAAACAAACTGATGTACACAAAATAAATTATAGGAGAGTTCCCATCTCGCTATTTATCAGGAAAAAGGATGTCATCGGCTATGATATCATGTTCATCCATGGGGATACTGTGCAACATCTGCTCCTGAAAAGCTAACCCAAGAAGATATGGGCGACCACTAGGATCATGTAAGCAGCGGTCAATATAGATATCATAATAGCCCTGGCCACTTCCAATCCTTCCTCCTCGTTTGTCAAATGCCAGACCTGGAATGACCATCAAGTCTAGTCCACCTAAAAGTAATACAAAAACATGGACAATAGCATTACCTACTATCTCACACAAGTTAGTGTTGAGGACAGTATAATTACTTTCACATAAACCTGTACCTCTTTAGGTTTACTACACGTCTCACACAAGGTGCTGATGATTACAGCAGTAAATAAGCATGTAATTCTTTATCCTTGCTACAAATATAGAAACACAACATCCTGTTTACCATTTGTACATATACTTGAAACTGAAGATCTCAATATATAAACACAACAGGCCTGCCACCAAACATATAGTATAGATATATCAAGAATACTTTTTAACCTGGAACCATCGGCTCATCCTTTAAAAAGTTTATTATGTCCTAAACACATTCCATTTTTCTTGGTTGTTTTCTTAACAATCAGGGAGCAACAAACTGATACACGTACACAAAACCATATCTTCCTTTCACATATCACATCTTTGATGTACTAATTTACATGTTCATGTCAGGACCATATCCCAACCTGATATTTATTAACCAAAAGTTGCTAGTAGGTGAACTTTCAAGTTTACTTGGTACACACACATATCCATCCATCATATCTTTGTAATAAACAAGACTTAAACTTATTAGCTCGATCAGTTTCAGTTTGGTTTTAGCTGATTAGTCATCCTGAATATGTTCTGGAGGGTGACTGATCACTCTCCTGTAGTTTCTGAAACTGCTATACCTCTACATCATCCAATCAATATTTAAAAAAAAGTATTATAAAACACAAGCTGTAACTAACCTTAAAACAATTTTTAGGAAATAGATACCTAGAACAATACACAGATAACCTTTATAAAATGCATGCAACCAAAACAAGCATTTCAAGAAAAAAAACTCGTGTCGCAACTACATTTACTATTTCATGCATTAGCATCATTGACACAGACAAAATTAAAAAAAGAAAAATCAATCAGAATGCCAAAAATTCAGAAGAACTTTTAGTAAATATGCCCTTCATGACAACACTATATAATAACAATGCCACTAAAAAAAAATATAGTTCACCAATTTAAATGAAACAATATTTTTAGGAATATATATATATATATATATATATATGAGAAACAAAGACCTTTATATAGCGTACATGTAACTAAGAATACATCGGCTCACAAGACTAATTTCAATAAAAGTTTCTCAGTACAACATACGAATAAAAGGACCAGCAATAGTTAAAAATGACTATTGTAATTATCCTTTCTAAAAGCAAAATAAAAAAAAAACACACACACAGAAACACTACTCAACAAAAATCCTAAAACAGAGATAAAGGGTACATCTATTATTATCAAAGAACTTGAACTTACACTATGAAATTATTTTACTCTTCAAATAAAAACAAATAATTCTAGTTTGTTTCTAACTCGAAATAATTTATGACACATCATCTCCCCAGTACATTTTTAAACCATAAATTTAGTTTATCATCATTTACTTTTGGTTACTGATCTTTTAACAGTTTCTGCAGAATCTATACAAGCTTTTTTTTTCAGAATTATAAATTGTTTATTTTACAGTATATTATTACTCCAACACAGTCTGTAACCATACTTTACAAATGTAACATTTATTCTGTTGTGTAGTCTCTTGATAAAATGTACTGGTGATATGTGAAAAATATTTTGGAGCTAAAAAACTGTATTTCAATTTAAGTTTGATCAGTGTTAAAAAACAATTATGTTCCATGAGCTAAAGGTTTCCAAAAGTATTGCATTAAAAAACAAGTTATAGTATTGAATGTAATACATGTGGTGAATGCTACAGTGAAGAAACTTTGTGATGTAAATTCCACTATATGGAACATCTTAGGACTAGTATAATGGGAAAGTGAAGATAATGTTGTAGTTGTACTTTCTATTGAGTCCCCCCAGTGGCTGGTCGGTACGTCTGAAAGCATATAATCCTAAAAATTGTTTCAATACTCATGATGGGCACGGCACAGATACCTAATGTATGGCTTTGTGCTTAACATCAAAACAAACAGGCAAACAGTTTTTATTGAGAAATATGATTTAACACATTTTAACAATACTTTCATTATTCAAAGTGCCTGGATTACCTGGATAGCTCTCAGAACTAACAACCAGTTTATAACAGAGATTAAAAACTTAATAAATACTTCTTCCTCTTATTCATATTTTAGTCAAGTTTTTTGTTGTCATAAAATGTGATGCTAATTTGAACTTTCATTTTTTTGAACAATCATTTTGTAGTAAATACATACACATGTAAGTACAATTTGTTTGTTTTTTACTTCAGTTTACGTATCTTTCACTAGATACTTATTAACAATGCTACTAAGTATCAGATCTAACTGTTGAACCATCTGGCTTCTAAAGCCAATGTGTTTGAACTTATTGTTGATAGTTTAAATTGTACATTATTTTTTAATTGTTCTGAGTCCATCTCTGTGATTGGTTAACTTGAAGAAGGTTCAGAGCAAAAGTTAAGGTAATAACAGTTTTACTGGGAAAAACAATTTTTCTCCTGAATTATATTTACCCTCCTGTGTACAATATGTCATCTATATTTTGTAAAATCGATGGTAGATAGTATTTTTCAAACATATGTGCTAATTCAAGACATTACTCGTTAGTTAAGATACTGTTCTCAAAGTTAGAATATTCTTATTGATAAAAAAAGAGGTGGGGAATTTTGAGGCACTGGATTAACCTAAATCCTAAAATGCCCATCCAAAGCCTTACAGTATGTTTTTTTTTCACCAATCATTATGCTACATTTTCTTCCCAATCTGATGATACTTTTGATACCCAGAATTCCGAGAATGCTATATCTTGAAGAAAACTACCATTTTAGTATATCAATGAACTTGAAGAGGTTTTTATATGTTCACCACTTACAGTGTACATGATTCTATTGACCTTTCAGTTCAACAGTGGTAAAAGTGCTTTGTCGCATGCAACTGACTGATAGAATAGTTTAAAAATATTAGAAATTAGCCAATGGGTTGACAATGCTTGATTATATAATCAAACTAATATTGTATACATTTTCTGACATTCAACAAATATCTTAAAACATACCAGTAGCAAGAGCTTCTTCTCGGTGATCATCATCAGCTGGCTGTCTGATATTCCACTTTGTCAGAGGTAGTTTGGACAAGTCTTCTAAAGAGTGGAGTTTCACCATATCCATGTGTTGGCTGTTTGAACTATAATAACATTACAGTTTATCCTTGCTACATGGATAATCACTGGTAAGAGGGAACTTAATACAAAAATGAAAGGCTAATTTTATGAAAATTAAAATCATGTACACAATTCACATCTCAAACAAAAAATACTATGGTGTTTCAATGGAAATGATTAAACAAACAAACTAATGTACCAAAATCTTTGCAAGTTATCTATACAACTGGTTTAATTCTTTCAGCATGGGACTGACCCAGTAAACATTTTTGTGCTTCTTATAGTTTTCATGCTATAACTTTTAAATTAGTAAGAGAATGTTAACGAAATTTGGCAGATTATCACTAAACATTACAATGCTTTCATATACAAAATATCAATTTTTTTTATTAAGCCTTATAGTTTGTTAAGCAATGTTTTTCTAATATATTTTTTTCTTTTCGCATGTTGCCTATCCAACATGCAAACTAATTTTCATTTTCAATTTAAAAATACTTTTATGCATAAGAAAATTTTCAAATTTCACATATGAAGTCTCTATAATGTCCAGATAGTTATCAATCATTTCTTTAAAAAAAACTTTATATTTTATCTCTTATTTTCTCTAATGAATCTCTATATGGGTTTGGTAGTTTTGACCAATCTTGTAACCTCAATAAAAAAAATTAGGAAAAAAAAACACATTAATTATGCTTTTTTTGTTCTAGAATGACTACTACTTATAACACGAAAACACAAATTTTTAGTCTAAACAGCTTAAATCACATAACATTGTACATTCATATATATTTATTATTTTTATCATATTGACCCTTCAGCCATGCCTGGCTAACAATATAGAAGTTACAATGATGCAGCACATGTGCTCTCATGTTACCATATTCAATAATATAAAACTGACCTTTTGTCTTTAGAAAGTAACCTGTCTTGGCTGTGTTTTAGTCGACTAGTGTTTTGTAAAAATACAGACACATTTCCATTATTATACATTACATATGTATATAGCTTATTACTATTTAGAAATAAGTTCTTAAACTTAATGTTCTTAAAACACAGAACAGTAAGTAAAGAAATAAAGCAAACAATTAGCTCCTCTAGTTACGACCTTTGTACTCTGTTTGTGCTTGACGTAGGTTGCTAAGTATTTTTATACAGTTGAATAACCAAAAAACCATAAATTACTATATCAATATCAATCTTAGTAACTAAGCTGTATTTGGGTCTAAAAAAATATGAAATTTCAAGCAGACTAAAGATACAACCTACCTCCTTGATATCTTGGTTCAAAAGAAAGAGATGGAATCCTAAGACATGAAAATGGCTGAGAAAGACACTAGGGAGACATTCTAAGCTTTCGATTGGTTATTCACATCTCATATATTGAAGTAAGTGTATACAAGGGACAGTTTCCAAAAGTGGAAAGAGGTGAGTGGGGCCACTTTGTACGATTCAGTACAAGAGCAATAGAAAAGATAAGAGGTTCTTATCTTATATTCTAGCTTCTCAATATCAGTAGTTGGAGTTCCTAATTCATACAAAACTGTAGGTTTTGTGTTTTGACATCACAAACACCTAACTTGAGCCAGTGCTGCATTCAACATACCATGTGACACACAAAAATCAATGTTTAGCTGTGTTTTCGAAAATTTACTTTTAAATTAAGAAATTATCTAACATATAATACTAAACCTTGAATTATAATCTACAATTTGATACCAAACTTATTGACACAGATTCACAAAATAGTACTTCAATAAAAGTTTGAACGCATGTCAACAAACATCATGACATGGCCTTTGACCTGTGTGGAGAGGGTTAAATTACATGAAATGCAAGTTATTAAAGGAACAAAACTAAGTTGTTTTCAAGAACTATAAGGGGCAATCTTTCCAGTGTTACTGTAGCCAATGGTAAAAAAGCATGAATACAACATAACTGAGCTACAAAGAAACAAGAAATTTCTTAAGTATCATCCTGTTAATTTAAGTGATGTCGTTCATTCAAAATATTTAAGCTACTGTGATGGTTAGGATGTACTTTGAGAGTTCTGGTACCTTAGTACATGAACTTCAGAGCATCAGTATGAGCTGAAGATTCCCAGTTCAAGAAACAAAACAGATTTCTTATAAAAACAGAAACAGTACAGTGCACCATGATTTTCATAACTCTCTCTCTTTTAGCTATAGAATAATTAACCTTCATACCAGTAATTTATGAAAGTTGTGTAGAAAGGCAGCTGCTAAATTTACAGTTGTCTCAGTGAAGTAAGTCTAAGGTACTTTACATCTGATCTTGATAGCTTAGATGGGTTCATGGGCCTGCTCTTGTCATTAGTTGTACTACTTTCTTTGTATCTTTTGATTTATTATTAAACTCCAACTTCTGATTCTTTATTTTTTTCAGAAACTTCCTGCTGATTGTAGCCCTCTTTATAGAAGGCTGTTCTACTGTGTCTTACTTCACTAGAAACAGAACAGTCATGTTAGGGTCACAGACTAGAAAAAATTTTAAGTACTTTTTACAATAACAATAAAATTCAAAGGTTTTTTGTTTTGTTTTTTTACAATTGAAAATTAATAAATGTATGCAATGCTATTTGATGTTGGATATCAGTATAGCAGCAGTACATCTAAAAGCTACATCTCCCAGTTTCCAGAAACATAGCTACTATCAATTATGACATTCTTACATCTCATTTTTTAGAATTCATTTAACCCAAACAAGTACATATTATGAGCTTTAGACATTATTACTGTATCTCATCCTGGACAACTTTTGCACAGAAGACTGAATGATGGTCTTTGTTCATATTAGTGTAGTATCAGTGTGGCAGAAGAAAAACAAACAAAAAATTTCAGCACAAAAAAGGAAACTGCTTCTTTTATTGGGGAGAACAACACAACTGTCACACTACAACCTGAGCCCAAACATACTTTGAAGTGATTCTTTAAATGCAAAAGCAATTCTGACACCGAAGGTAAACCTCTACAACAAAAAACTGGTTGTGACATTCACTTCAAGCATGATGTTGAAAGTTAAAGATGTGTTTTTTTTAGCGTTTAGTTAAGGGTACTATTTTTTCACTTTTTGTGTTTATAGCTGTTAATTATTAGATATCAATTTTGTCTGCCATTATATTCACAAATATATTTTCATCAAGAACAGTCTTTGATGAACATGTTTTTACTCCTTAGCTTCAGAAGGATTATAAAAATTAGCTTCTTTGACTAAACAATAGTATATTTTTAATGCTTCTACCAATATTTTTTGTCAATAAATAAACATTGTTATCTAATAAAATGGAAATGAATGAAAACCTTCCCCACAGGGTATTTTGTAACATTCAACAATGTTTAAAATTTAACACAGCATAAGAGATCAGTAGCATATGTTCCAATATAATCAATACTATTTTAATGTCACCCATGGGAGATTCAACCATGTTCTATAATCAGTATACCAGTAAAAAATAAACAGAAATGCTGGAGTGTTTGTTTTGCAATGAAAGGAAAAAAAATCTATTTGATTATGCATTCTATATTAATTCATTTATGTGTTTGTTAATTTCTCTTTCACAACTTCTCCCAGTTTTGGAGCTAGCAGGATCAAACTTAGCAGGTGGAGTTAGTAGGGTGAAACTAGAATTCTCACAGCAACTCTAATATGCTTCTTACCAAAATTATGAACTTAAAATACAAAAAAATCTGATAATTTTGTACTTAACAAGCAATCTCTGACTTAAACAGAGAGAATTATATTAGTTTGATAACTGAGCAGTGACAGTGCCAAATTTGAAAAAACTACAGAGATGAAGGTGCAAACTGCCAAGCATTGTACTGCCACTGGGAAGGTTGAAGACTGTATGGGTGAAGACTGTTATACAATGCCAAGCAGTTTTAGGTGATGGGCATCAGTCAAGCCAAACATGGTAAGCAACTCGACAACACTGTTTATTGCCACAGTCCTTCCTTAACACATGATGAGAAACCTCTTCTGGAACAGCTTTGAAGATACCTTTTTAATACATGAATGTTGTTCTTTACCTTGGGCATTTATCTGCATCATCTTTGCCAGATAAACTATCTTTGACCTCTTTTGTGGATTATTGTTTGGTCACATGTATCACATCCTCAACCTACTGCACTGGTAACATTCTTAGCATTTTGCAACCTTGCAGTTACAGATCAGTTTCAAAATTGACACTTCTGACACGTGTAAGAAATTCATAATGACTGATATGAGCATTTTTTGAAGAAAAAACAGATTGTTCCCATTGAAATTGCATTAGAACTACTGATGGGCAGAAACTAATCTTCAGCAACAAATTGCTCCCATTAATAACCTTATAAATATCATCTTTAATTGTCCTATATTATTCATCATAAAATAAACTGTATATTGACAGATTTGCAGGAAACACAAAAAACTCCAGATTTAACTAGTCAAGAGCAGTTTAGTACACTCAGTCAGATTAAGTCAGAAAACACTTGTTAAAAAAAAAATCAATTATTGTCTGAATCTCTATATCATGCAAGTACAGAAATGAACATTAGTACTTACTCATATTTAGGTATAAAACACTCTTTTCCCATTTTAAAAATATATTCCAAGATTCCATTTGTTTGTACCTCATGATCTGTGTTTAAGTAGATGGAAATTCGATGGCTATTCTTGAAACGATCATAGTTGATCAACTGTTGAAAAAAATAATTTTAGTTCTTTGAATGCAATCAAAGTTAGCATTCTTTGCAAAACATAAAGGTCTGCAAAGTAAATTTGGTTCTCAATTTATTTTTCACACAGCACAAATCAATTGAACTTAACTTAAAACATAGGCTTTATTAATTGTTTTATTCAACTACTTTTGGTAACACAGTTACCATCATAGTGCCCCGATTTTATGTTTTCACTCTTGATATACAGTAGCACAATGTATCTGAAAAGATATTACTTTTAAAACTTTGAACTTACAAGTACAATGTAATGCTACAATATCCATTAAAAGCATAAGAAAATAAATATATTTCCTGCTAACAAGTTATTCATGAAAACTGATACTAGCAGGTTATATAAAAATACTGATTTTATATGCTGTAACAAATAATTTAAACTACTATGAAAGACTACAAGACACAGGTCAAATACATTGCTTTGAAAAATGTACCACACTTTATTTTAATTATGAATTTTATAAACTTCCCAACAATAAATTACTTCTAGATATTTAAATAGCATCCACTTATTCCAATATACTTTTTACTGGTTATATTACTTGAACAAAAACAACTCTTATTTGAATAAGCAATGAGGTTAAAAGCCACTGAAACTAAAGTAAATGTAGCTCTTTGCTCAAAGTAGCTATTAAATAAATATTTCAAATAATTTAAATTATTGGTGCAAGTATCATCATCATCACACAAACACTCAACTCATCATTACTTTAAAATAAAAATCAGTGTTTCACTTTCAGACCTTTTTATAAATTAAAATTGTCAACCTATGTTAAATTACTGTTGCTTATCCTTCACTTTCAGAAATATTTTTCTCTCTCTCCTCTAAAGAGATCAAACAAAACATAATTTTATTTAAAAAAAATAAATGTAGAGAAATTTCAGACTTTTGGTGATATACCCTTGTTAATATTTAGTTTTAATGAAGATTCATATGGTTACCTTTCATGCAGGAGAGATTACTTTTTTCAAGAATATAAAATGTTACTTGCTTGTACATATTCATTTTATCACTTGGAGTTCAAGTTGGACTCAAGACACTAACCCAGTCTATTTGCTTAGTTTATACCAGAATACTAAATTAGATAGCAGGTGAGATCAATTTATATTATTTTATTTGATTTGATATTAATCAAATAGTTTAATTAAAAACAACAACTAAAAAAATAAAAAATATTTTTTGGGCAAGTCAAACTAAAACAGTTGTTCTGACATTATTTTAAAACGTTAGTTAAAACATAATCGTATGCTGATATAGAATAATACTATTAATAATATTAACAGTTAATACCACCAATTAAAATATTAAGTTACCTATGAAATATGATTTTAATCATATTAATAAACTACGTTAAAGTGTTAAACTATGTTAATTTTGTATTTATTATTCTTTGTATTAAACTAGCACAGTCATGAAAAGAAGCAGTTATCTCGCACAAGTTACAGCACTAATCTATTACATTGGAACAGTAATACTAATTACTATTAGTAATTTCACCACACGAAATCACGTGCGAACTTAACATTGCCAACTATAGCAGGAAACTGACCTTGTCAGTAATTAGCTTTGATTGGCAAAATTTTTCGTCCTTCGACATGACCTTAAGTTTCTTTTTAACTTCGGCTCGTATAGCTTCTTTTGCCGCTCGAAGCGCAGCTGAGGCAGCAGAATTCATTACAAATTTTTTATGTGAAAGTTACACCGTTAAAACTTTTCCACTTCTTCCACGTGTCAACCACACTATACAACACCTCCGAGACAATGTATGCACCGAAAAGAAAGAAGTAAATCGAGGTTAAAATTATTTATAACTTTAGATGATTAGAAGCAAACAGTGACACACACTCTTGGTTTCGTGGACCAGCACCACCTAGATTTTGCAAGTACTGAGTAGTGATTTGTAAACAACTCTCAGATTCTCATCCACCTATCATGAAGGAAAGTTATCCTAGTACACAGTATTTTTCACAACGTACTGAATCGTTCACAAGTTATATTAAAGGAAAAGATAATAGAGAGCGATGAAATTATCACGACTTCAAATTTGTTACGTACAAAGAAAACAAAGGAGCAATTGTATAATTTATTAAATTTATTGCAGATCATTATAGTGTTACTGTTACGACAGCGGAAGTCACATGACCCTCGTAACACGTAATGAGTTCTAGAAAGATCGGGGAACATCACGAATAATCCAGTCTTTGCTAGGCGCCCTCTATTCTTGTATATACGTGCGACAGAAAATGAATCGGAATTGAATAGCGGACAGAGAGATGGAAGATATAGACGGACAATTGAGTTAAGCGCGGTAGTAAGTAAAATGCGTGAATCATTCGTTGAGAATTATAGCGTGTGTTTAAGTAACTATGGAAATTAAGTGTATTGCAAAGTTGTATTGTGAAAGAATAAACTAGTTTTATTTAAGAAATGACTTGTATCGCTGAGGTATCTCGGGAAGAATTTCTGTGGGAAATTATCAAACAAGCAGAGACGCAACATTATGTATGTATCCGCTTGTTTGATAATTTCCCGTAAATATTCTTTCCGAGAAACTTCAACGACACAAGTCTTGTCTTAATTAAAACAAGTTTATTCTTTCTCATTACAAACTTTGTAATACACTTAATTTCCACAGTCACTTTAAAC